TTCGAATTCGAGACCTAAAGAAACAACAACAATTTCTTTATCAACGAGATCATTTAATTTGTGATTCTAATCAAATTTTATAAATGTAACATACTGTCCTAAGGTACCATTATTGGAAATATCGAATAAATCCATTCATTAAACACTTAAATCACTTTGAATCTTTGTCACTTGAACCTCCCATTTGATGCGGCACAAAAACAAACGAACGCCGCGAATGAACTTAAATAGGAGGCCACATTAAAAAAAACAAATTTCATAACCCAAGCTTAGGGAATATACAGCCCTTAACCATGAAAACTGACATGTAAATATGCATAACTGAAACAATTGAAATGTCATTTCCACGTGGAAAATTGAATGGCAATAGCATTTAAGATACTTGTCCAAATAAATTCGGCGGCAAAAACATAACATAATTTATTCGGTGGAAAACTGAAATGTTGAAAATGTTCTTAAACAATTTGTCAATAAATTTTTTATTTAATTTATAATCTTTTAAATAAAAGCTTATTTAATTATAAACTTTTATATAATAATTTAGTTAATCAATCATTCATATTAAAAACTTATTTAATTTTTTTAATTGCGAGGTAAATTTGGTACCTAAAGTATCGATCATGTTGTTTTTGTACAACTCATCACAAAAATTATGTTCAACATATTCATTCATAGAAGGTTTAATTATATGACAAAGCTAACATTTGCCATAGAGTGAGGATGCTTCATCGCTTTGTAAACATCAAATTTTACCACTTCACCGTCAAATTCTATGGTAAGAGCTCCGCTTCTAAAGTCGATTTTGGTATGTGAAGTGCTTAAGAATGGGCGGCCAAGAAGGATATCAGAGGAAGTGTTAGTTCTGTCATTTTCTATGTTGATGACACAGAAATCTGCCGAAAAATACCTTAACCAATATGTTTTCAAGAAGTCCTTCAAGATAGATGACGAATTTATCGGTGAGCTGAATCGTTACTCTAGTTTTCTTCAAAGGCCCTGTAGTAATTAACTTTTTATAGAAGCACCAAGATCGCACATAGCATGCTTAATTCCAACCTTACCGATTTTAAAGGGTATAACAAACATACATTGGTCCTTTAACTTTGTTGGAAGCCTACGTTGAAAAACAAATGAGATGTTCTCGCCTAGGTTTACATTTTCATTGTCGGTAAGTCTCGTTTTGGTTGGACAAATATCTTTCAAGAATATGGCGTATCTCGACACTTTTTGGATTACCTCAAGAAGCGCTATATTTATCTCCATCTTTCGAAAAACATATAAAATTTCTTTTTTCTCTGCTTGTTTATTAAGTTTTACAAACCTGGTGGGGAATGAAGGAGGTGTTGCAAAAGGAGATAGCATATGATGATTTGGCAACGCGTCTTTATTTTTCTTCTGGGATCTTCTGTCGACTTCTTCCTTTTCTTGAAATTTTACGGAATCATCTTTATTTTCTCTCATTTGCGTTGATTTATTTCTCATGGGAACCTGCGACAATATCTCATTTTTGTTTGGATTTTACGGTAACATCCTTAGGAATTGGTCCAATGACGGTACCACTCCGAAGGGTGATGCACTAACGTTTTCTCGTGGGTTTGCCTCGGTTTGAGATGCTAGTTATTCTTGTGATTCCATGCGTCCCACGGTTTGAGTCAATTGAGTCATTTGTTTTTCGAGCTATTAAAAGAGAGCTTCAGTGTGATTCTAAAATTTTTCTTGAGATAGTGTCAACAATTCGACGATGGACTCCATTGATGATTTCGGGGGTTGATACTATAGTTGTGGAAGCAATCTCGGTTGATACGGTTGATTAGGTCTCGAATTTTGTCCATAGCTGAAATTTGGGTGGTCCCTCTACCCTGAATTATAGGTATTTGTGTTAGGATTATACGGTCTATGGGGAGGTCCCAAAACAATTTCAAATGTATTTATCTGTACGACATCGTCTTCTTGTAACATCGGACAACAATCCGTGAGGTGGTCTGGCATTGTGCAAATTTCACAAAGTCTAGCCGTAGTCGTTTTTCCTAAAACAAGAGATTGAACAATATCGACTAATTTATTGATTTTATTTTGTAATGAAATTGCACTTATCTCATGAACCCGTCGAGTAGGTTCACTCGAAGAGTCAAATTGTTGAGAGTTATCAGCCATAGTTGAGATCAGATTTCTGGTTGCATTTGGAGTCATATTTACGATTGCTCCTTTGTTGGTTGCGTCTATCATCTTCATCTTCAAGGGAAATAGTCCTTCGTACAAGTATTGGAAAAGTATTTGTTCCGATAGTCCATGTTGTGGGCAGCTAGCACAGAGTTTCTTGAATTGTTCCCAGTAGTCATATAACGATTCTCCATTTGTTTTTTTGTACTCCTAAGATTTTCCTTCTTAATTCACTCGCTTTTGTTGCAGGGAATAACCTGTCAAGAAATAGATGTGTCATATCATGTATGAACGAAATTAAGAGGTAAATAAAATAACAAATCTTTAGTCGAATCAGCTAAAGAAAAAAAGAAAAATGTGGAGTTTAATTTGATCATCAGATACTCCATGTGGATTCATGCTAGAGCAAACCATATGAAACTCAGTAATATGCTTATGAGGACTTTCGCTGGGCAATCCATGGAAAGTAGGTAGAAGATCAATTAAACCCATTTTTAGCTCAAACGGTATATCTCCATTAGGGAATGCGATGCATAAAAATGTTGGTTCAGCAGGTGCCGCAACTAATTCTCGGATTGTCTGATGATCCATTGGAAGGTTCTTCGAAATCTTCTTTGGCGTCAAAGAATGCTTCTGCGTCAAAGGGTATCTCCGGATTAAGTTCTGGATTTTATTCGGATTGTTGTTGTTCTTTTTGTTGTCGTAATCACCTTCGTAATTTTCGTGCTATTACTTCGATCTCAGGTATCAATTCTACTTGTTTAACCAGATTTTTTTTGGTCATAAATCAAAACAAACTTTAATCAATAATTTTTTGTGATCCCCAACAACGACACCAATTTAACAAGCATCGTAATTGTAAAATAATTAATTTTTTCCTGGATAATTATACTAAAAAAGCATAATAGGGGAGAAGGGTATCAATCCACACGGATTCAAAAATTTTAAATTTTGATTTGATTTTATCTTGAACCAAGAAAGATGTAAAACAAATAATAAAAAAGAGGTTTTAAAATAATCAAGTAAACGAAATAAAATAAAATAAAGTAATGAAAGCAATAAAATTAAGAAAAGTAAATTGTAGAAAAATTAATTATGATGAGAGATAGCCTCCAGCTTCGCTTTGCCTCAATCTGTCTCGATCACTGAAATGAGTTTTACTCCGGGTACTTACCAGTTACAGTTTATAAGGCTCAACCCTTGTAACTTACTCTTCTAGCTGATGAACTAATTTTCCAAAGCCAATACTTGAAATTTAGCACTCTTTGGATTAAAGATATTGAGATGTCTAAAGAAAGGTTGATTGACTCTCTTTATCTGCCGAAAATCAAGAAAGAAACCTGAAGGTATGGAGCGCCTTTGTAATTCTCACGAGATTGGATTGAGTCGCAGCTTAGATATCAGCTAATGAAAGGTTAGCCAAGCATGATAGAACTCATGCTTGACGTTGGAAAGAAGAGTAGATGAAAAAGAAAAGAATTTTATTAGAACGAAAGAATAAACCAAAATCAATTCTATACTAAATTCTGAACTTGTAAGGTACATATGTTGAGCTTCACCTTGATGAATATTTATAGCTTAAGAATACCTAAAGAAAATAAAATCCTAATAAAAATCTTTAACGGACTAAAATCTTAATTAATTAAACAATAAAAATCCTAAATAATAGTAAACTACAATTTTATGCAAACTAAAATCCTAATAAAATAATAAATGTTTGAATTTAATTACAACTTTTAATTCCTAAAGAATTGCGGTTCGCCTTGCTTTTCTCCTTTGATCTTGCTACTTGGATTATTTTAATGAAGTTGGTGCCCAACTTGGTATCTGAATCTGAGTTGGGGCCGACTTCTCCAAATAATGAGATAAATCTACTTTAATTCACACTTTAATTATTGTTTTCTGAAAAATAGAGTCATGCGCGAAATCTAACACAAATAACCCAAATTAGCACTATAAAAGGGAATAACATTGTTTAATTAATAATAAATTATTAACCAAATAAAACACTTGTCAATGTATCTCACTGTTAAAAACTTACCACGTTTAGTACCTAAACTATCAATTTTGGTCATGTTAGTACCTAAACTTTCAAAAAAAAAAAGTTTAAATTTTGAACAAAGGTACTAAAATGAAACAAAAAAACTAAACTTTAAATATGATTTTGAAAAACGAAAATTTAGGTACTAAAACGAATCAAAATTGATAGTTCAAGTATTAAATACTTAATTTACCTATTCTTAATTAATGTCACTTGTCATGTTTTAACTTTATGTATCTATTTCAACCGGAAAGATAAATTTAAATACTTATTTCGAGAAAAAATATTTTAAATATTTAGAAAAAAATATACTTTTTTTCATGATCATCTGATCAAACTATATTCCTTGGTCAATTTACGGCATGATGTGGTGGGATATTTTGTGTACAAAAAGTATATACTATTTAGAGTAATTTGCTAGGATATATATTTTAATCAAGTAATATTTTTAAAATATAATTGCAGATATTTGTTGTCCAACCGAATTTAAACTCTCAGTTAAGACTAATATTAAGAGGTGATTTACATTTTAATTAATTTCAAAAGAAATGTTTTTAATTTAGATACTATTTCAAAATGCCTAGAGTTACTCACCAAATATTTTCAACGTAAGAAAATCTATATTTAAATACTAACTGTTTTTGGACATTTAATTATTTAACCCAAAAATGATTGGTAAAATCTTTTTTGAAACTAAAAATTATTTTCTAGGAAAAAAAAAAGAGAGGACACCATTGCTTTTGTTTACCCTTTTTTAGCCCCCAGAAAATCATTTCACGATGTTCTTCGTACCATTTCCCCTTCCTCTATCTGACAGGTACAAAGAAAAGCATATTTTTTTTGTTCGTTTTAATCGTGTTTTTAGTATCTCAGTTTCTTTGTCATGTTGTTCTTTACAATGTGCAAGTTTGTAAGGATTTTGATTGTATTGTGCATCATCATGTTCCTCACATCGAAACAATTAAGTTTAATATTGTTCATAGTATATCATCTTTCCCTTTAACATGTTCTATATTCTTATAGTTCTTAGTTTTGTGAATCATTTTATTCTCTTGGCATTGCTTTTCTTGATTATGAATGAAGCTGCAATATAATTATTGGTTTTAATTGCAAATGCATTAGTCTATAGTTCCTATGTTTTTTTTGGTTTGTAGATTAGAAGTGAAAGATGGGGGAGAGGGTGGTAGTAGGTAGATACTGGTGTTACATATGTTCACAAATGGTGAATCCAACAATGGAGGCAGCGATCAAATGTCCATTTTGTGAATCTGGATTCCTTGAAGAAATCACCAGCATCAGACCTCACTCCCACAACAATGGCGGAAATGATTCAGGATCAATCAGCAGTGTTTCCATTTGGGCTCCAATCTTGCTTGGTTTGATTGGTGGTTTAGGCTCTTCCCAGTTGCGCCTCACGAGCAGGGCCCAAACCAACGATGCCGATGATCCCACGGATGACGAACTTGGAAGAGAGTTCGAATCCTTGGTTAGGAGGAGAAGAAGAGGCTCGGGTTCCGGTATTCGGATGCTTCAGGACACGAGAACCGAATCAGAGAATATTGAAAGGGGTGGTGGTTCTGACCGTGCTGGAGGCAGTCGAATGATCTTGTTCGATCTGTTCAACGACGAGGCCTTGATCGTTCAGGGTTCGTTTGGTTTCAGCAACGGACAAAGCTCAAATCCAAGGTCAGTCGTTTCCTTTAGTCATTACCTACTGGGACCTGGTTGGGATCTTCTGTTACAGTATTTGTCCGAGAATGACCTGAGTCGCCACGGAAGCCCACCGGCAAAGAAAGAAGCAGTGGAAGCAATGCCGAACGTTACCATTGATGACAATGTACAATGCTGTGTATGCTTAGAAGATATTGAGATGGGGAGCCAAGCAAAAGAGATGCCATGTAAACATAAGTTCCATGGTGAATGCATTATTCCATGGTTGGAGCTTCATAGCTCTTGCCCTGTTTGCCGGTTCCTGCTTCCTTCGGACGGCGAAAAGGTCGAAGGGAATAGCGCCGGAAACGGAAGCCGGAGTGGCGGCAGGGCGGGAAATCGAAGGAGGTACTGGATACCGATTCCATGGCCTTCTGAGGGTTTAGTGACTTTATCAGGTTCTTCTCAAACTGGTTCTTCTTCTACTTCAACTGCTTCATTGGAAGCCATGCCTGGAAACTCAAGTGGAGCTCAGACAGATGACAATTGATAATAAACATTTGTTTCATTCTTTTTCAGATGATATTATTAACTATTTTTTCAGGCCTTTCATGAAATTGCAATACGATTGTCCAATAATAAATGTCAGAATGTCAATACAAAGACAACAAAAAATAATTATGATTATTATTATCAACAAAAAGGAAAAGGAAAACAGTCACCTAATCAAACGGATTAATATCATACTGATTATTGCTGGTAAAGATCTGACATGGAAGCCTTGTTCTTTATTAATGGTGCCAAAAAGTATCCCATGTAGATGCTGATTAGTGCTACCATACAAACAAATAAAAGAGGGAATCCCACTTTAACTTCTTTTAGCTTCGCTTTTTTCCTCAATAGCGCCTGCATAATATTCACATACAAGTTCATTGTCAATAAATTTAAAGGGGTTTCTCATAATAGCTAAAACATACATTGAAGTTCGACTATAATAGATTTTTGTAGTACTCGATCCTGATTAATCGACTAATGGATCGAATATTGGTTATTATACAAAAAAGCGTACATTAACCCTGATAAACAAAGCAAAACTAAAAACTAAAACATGCATCGTTTTGATGTAATCTAATGAAAATCTATAGAATATTTGTATATGGTGGGTGATTCATAAATCCATAATCCAGAATTTTCACTTTACTAAATGATAATGATTATGTTATCCAGACTCAAATATGAAAGCACATATAGAAAACTTACTAGCTCGTCTTCTAAGATTTTTCTTTCTTGAGCTCTCAACCTCCTTTCTTCTGCAAGTTTTAAAATGGTAGCTTCAGCCTGAAAATGATGACCATTATAGGTATATGAATCGAACACATGTATTTTATATGGATATTTCAAGCAAAATGAAGAGCCTGAAGCAACAACACAAGACAACATACGCAAATAAATGATGGCAAGATTTTCAAACCTTATTTTAAACTGTGGTAACTATGTAACTTTGGCTACTAATTGTATAACTTCTTATAGATAGAAGCTTACTATAGAAAATTGTGCTTCCAAGGTTAGTAACAAATTGCCTTAGAGATAGATACACTCACCTCGCCTAGCTTAGATTCAAGGTTGGCCACGTTTGATTTCATTTCTTCTACATCTTTTGCAAACATTAGCTCCTCCATTGTCTTCAAAATTTTCCCTTCACCATCCTTCAATGGATTGGACTCTTTTTCATTCACAGAATTAAATTCCCCAGTATCAAGAACATTCTCCCTTGGCTTTGAGTCCACATCTTTCACCGGCTTTAACTCCTTGCTATTGAAATTATTCTTTGGTTTCAGCTCCGGGTCTTTAGTAAATTTTAAGTCCTCATCATTAACATCATTTTTTGGCTTCAGCTTTAAATCCTCTGCACAGAACATATCTTTCCTTGGCTTCCAGTTCACATCCTTTGTTGGCTTTAAATCTTCCAAATTTATCATATTTGATTCCTCAACCTTGGTGACCTGTTGCAGGGAAGAGAACATCAATAAAAGTGTTACTGTTAGGTATAAACTTAATCAATGGGACTTGAAGCTTGTCTTTAAACCTCACATTTGAACAAAAGTTCTATTCAAGTTCACGTTCACATTAAAAGAATATATAGATGTTCCTTTAAAAGATAATGCAATCACACATGCAAGTAATGTGTGTATACAAAGATGTAACCATGTCAGAACCGAAGTGTCTTTACTGTAAGGGCTAAAAGAACTAATAATGCATATCTAACCGTCTGCAATGGCACATGAATCCCAACTCTACTGAATTTGTGCTCTTTTGGTATCGAAGCATCGTGATCTGTTCCCTGATTCGTTGTCCCATTAATTGTTGATGATACTGGCAAATGAGGTGGGCTGACAAGAGCAACTTTAAGCTTGTGCTCTTCAATATATCTTCCACTGTCCTTGACAAACTATCAAAGAAAATGATGATCAAAAGTAACTTATTATTATCAAATAAAGCACAAGCAGAGCATAAAATCTCTTACTGTGGCAGATGTAATGTCAGCGTCAATTGTTCCAACAGGGACAACTGTGCTTTGGATTAAGAACTTATCTCTGCATATCATATCGGGAGGAGCTTCGAGCTGAGCTTGCATGGTAACTAAATAAAAAATACATAAGGGTGAGAACATATAATATGGCACAGGGAAGTAAAAAAAAATAAGGATAAAGAACACAAATTAGAAATTTCAGTACTATCTTTCAATTACAAGTTCCATCATTAGTTTTGATTCACTTGTCCTGCCACTGATGAGGCAGCACAATGGCAGATTGTTCTAAATATCAAGATTGCTGTTAGTCAAGCATTTATTTTTTGTTTGCTCGATATATTTGCATTCACAATAAATTTATCATGAATTATCACTAATAGCCAACTACAGAGACATGCACTGCATTTAAAGCACCTAAACCACTACAAAAATTTCTCTTATCGACTTATCCCATTCCTTACACTTTCCTAGATGGAAAAATCATTGAATCCTGTAGGGTCTCTTAGCCAGGAGGCCTTGTATCTACTAACACCATAGTTATGGCCATTATAAAATTAAAGGAAACCTATCTAGATTCAGGTTTGGCTCAAGCAAGTTAAGCTTGAGCTCAAGTAGCTCAGTATGCCAGATTCAAGTATTCTAATGCTTTACACAAGTGGCTGTGAAGCCTAACAAACTCAAGCACAAATAACCAAATTCGAAGTCGAGTACGGATATCAAACTCGTATTTTTAATATGTAAATGAGCTTTCATCGAACCCAATCAAGTGAGCTAGAGTAGTTTGCTTGTATCTCGAATCAAGCTGAAGCATCAAAGGTAAAACTAGATCAAGCTCAAAACTTGAGCTTCATACAGCTTGAGCTCAACTCAACTCGATTAGAGTTGTCAGTTATGCATTTAAATGCATTGTAGTTCGTTCGTTACACGCACAAACATTGAAATATACAATCCCGTACAAAAGCTCCGTACCTGTAAAATCGCATATTGATCCGGGCATAATAATGCCAACATTAGGCCGCACGCAGTATTTCTTGGGAGATGTAGTTTTAACCTGCAAAATACCATTGCTAAAATTACATTGGAATCCAATACTCTAAACTTTAAAAAAATTCCAGAACAAAGGCCATAAACTCTGTTAAAAGAAAAATAAAAAGAATGCCGAAAGCGCTGGTTCAAAGTTCAGACCTTGAAAGCAAGGTTTTGGTCAGTGTTATTCGTGAGCCTAATGGAGCAGTAGCATTGCTTCTTCAATATAACTGCATATATATATATATATATAAACCTTAAATGAGAAATAAACAATTATGCAAATCTAAACGAAAAATCATATACTATTAAATTATTTAGCCCTCAATTCTTTCACAGAAAACTCAGAACAAACTAAATACAATAGATACAAAAACAATCTTAATCTTTACTCTGTTTTCTATAAAAAAATATTAAGAGTTAGAGAAACAGGTTTAGAGGAAAAATGGTTATAAAATAAGATTGATCATTTATTCTAATAATTGGAAGAAAAATAACGACTAAAATGTGTCTTAATTTAGTTACTATTAAAAATAGTTTTATGTGAAAAAAATGAATTGGCAATCAAGTAATTATGTACTCACATTTGAATTCAAGCTCCTTTGGTTCAATCTCCAAAAGTTGTGTATTCATTTTCCTTCTTCAATTAGCATACAAAACGTAATCTGCATATCATAATTATTATCATACTAATTAGCAAAATAACGGTAAGCTAATCCCATTTTGAATTTTAGATATTGATAAAAATATTTGTTTCCATAAAAAGTCGAACGAAAATCGAGTTTTACGTGCTTTGACTCATATCAGACTTGAGGCACTCTGTTTGAATTCCAAACATCGATTACGCAACGATTACACTTCGTTGAAACTGAGGCTATAATTTTTTGAAATCAAATGTTTAAAAAAAAAACACAAGCTGTGTTTAAAATTTTGAAAGCAGAAAACCAGATAATGCTCGGCTTCCAACTCGGAGCTAAAACTAACTCCAGCTTTGAAAAAATTAGCTCAAACGAACTCGGAACTAAGTGGATCTTCAACTCAAGAGAAACGGCAGCATTGTATTTGCCTTCTTTGAAAGGGATCCGGAGATCGAAACTCGAGAAAGAATCATTCAAAACGACACCGTTTTTTCGGGTCTCCACTTGCACTGAGCATGAAATTCAGTGGGAAAGTGAGAAACAGAAGAAGAAGAAGAAATCATACCTGGTTTAACGAAAGAATCTCCGGCCAGAGATTAAGAGAGAGAGAGAGAGAAGGCGATGATCGGATTTTGGTTGTGGAAGTGATGGAAACAGAGAGACAAACAAAAAGGCTGATGAAGCGAAGTGGAAGTGAAAGTGAAAGAAGACAATCATAGAAAAGATACCAAACTCTTCTTTTCTAGAAATAATGAAATATTAAAACGCACACGCAAAAGAAAGAGCCCAGAGCGTGTACTACACAGTAAATCTATTCAAATTTGGATAATTCAAATTATTTCAAAAGTTTTACATTACGACCTTAACATACGATTAAGGAAAGACGTTATTAATTTTATTATTTTTTAATAAATTAATAAAAAATTACCTAAAATATTATTATTTCTATCGATTTTGTTATTATTAGACGTTTTATCAAGCTTGATAATATATCCGATAAAGTGCTACTTAAAATATTATTTTTTCTACCAGTTATATTACCAAATCTGGTAAAACACCCAATAATAATAAAACCAGTAAAAATAATAATGTTTCCAATAATTTTTTTCATTTTCTTAATGTTAAATACTTCTCTAAATTCTCTTCATATTAAAAACTATATACATTCATTCGCATCAAAATAATATGTTTACAATCAAATTTGAACCTAAAATTTTACTTATACTTTATTTTATAATAAATTTCTAATTATTAATCATTAGCCACTGGTTGGGATATTAAGTACACCATAAATCGACAAGACTGGGATTTTAATTAATTGAAAATTTTGATGGAACACCTTTACAACTCCTTGCATAAGCTAGCAATACGAATATAGAAATTATATAAAATAATGTGAAATATATTAAAAATAATGATTTTCGTACAAATATTGGATGTAATAGAATAAAATAATATAAACGATCATAAATCCAATAAAGGGGGCAATTTAACGTCAAAATGTTTGTCAAAAAGCCAAAGTTCCCATAGAAATGGTGAATTTGTCAATAGTGGAATTGTGATGGAGAAAAGGGAAAATAGTGCATTATGACAACGTTTATTTGGCAATTTTCTTTTTTAATGACAGGGTTATTTAATTTATTCTCAATTTTAAAGTTAAACAAATGAGAAAATAATTTTAGTAATAAAAAATGTCTTATAATATACGATTTTAACCAACTTTTTTTGGATTTATCAAAATGACCAACTAAATCGTAATGTGATCGATAATTCGCAACGTGATCTCCGGTATCGCAAATCAGTTTCTAGATTCGCAACGCGAACTTCGACCACAACCACGACCAGACCACGACCCAACCCGAGATGAGACGAGACGGACGGCGGCGGCGGCGCGCGAGAGTCTCCTTGTTCTCTATCACTCAACAAGGAAGTGGGAAAGCCAAGCCTTAAATACTATTCCCAATAGTGTTTCCAATATTATGTGGGATTGAACATTACCAACACTTGTTTCCAATACAATGTGATTATTCAGGAAACAATTAACAATCATGCACCTTAAAACAACTAAATCAACAACCAATTGCATTAGTATTATACGATTAAATATGTCATAATTAAAAGTCAATCTACAATCAATCGCGATTATTGCAATTTTAATTAAAACATTCAAAAATAATATCACTATTTAAGGCTCAATCCCACATAGTATTGGGAACAAGTGTTAGTAATGTTCAATCCCACATAGTATTAGAAACACTATTGAGAATGGTATTTAAGGCTTGGCTTTCCCACTTCCTTGTTGAGTGATAGAGAACAAGGGGACTTTCGCGCGCCGCCGTCTCGTCTCGTCTCGTCTCGGGTCGTGGTCGTGGTCGTGATAATACGTGCCTTTGACACGTCCGCGCGAATACTATATTTTTAGAGAAAATTCTTAAGAAACAAATGCAATACCACCAGTCGTTGCGATTTTGGACTATCGCAAGGAATTTGGAATAAATCGCAACGCGAACTTGGAATAAATCGCAACGCGAACTTGGAATAAATCGCAACGAGAACTTCGACTATCGCAACGAACTTGGAATAAATCGCAACGCGAACTTGGACTATCGCAACGAATTTGAAAAATCGCAATGTGAACTTCGACTATCGCAACGCGAACTTGGACTATCGCAATGCGAATATGTAAATCGCAATGCGATAGTCGAAGTTCGCGTTGCGAATCTAGAAACTGATTTGCGATACCGGAGATCGCGTTGCGAATTATCGTTCGTATTGCGATTTAGTTGATCATTTTGACAAATTCAAAAAAAGTTGGTTAAAATCATATATTATAAAGTATTTTTGGTCACTGAGGTTATTTTCTCAAAACAAAGTGGCATTTTGGTATATAACTTTAAAAGTAGTGGCAATATAGTCAATATTTGTAGCTATTTCCACATCTACAGCTCTGATATCTGAACGCATCTCGTTCGTACAAATTTTTATTTCAAATAAATGTTTATTTTTTCCTTCTGATATCTATCGTTTTTCGCTTCTCTGATCATCCACGCGGATTCAAAACCCTAATATGTTTGTTTGATCGGATTCTATGCCAGTAATCTCCGGACTGTAATTTGTTTTTGTTATTGTTTGCCTGCCGGGAAATAAGGAGGAGGCAAGGTAATGAAAATTCGAACTTTTTTCCATTCTTTTTAGAATTATGGAAACGGTTTCATTCGATTGATGGTTCTACTTCGTTTTCATGAGTTCTTTTTTGGCATTGATTTATTCGTGGAAGTTGGAATTTGACGTGGGTTAACTTTCTAGGGTTTTGTAAAAGCTTACAAATAAGTGAAAATTGTTGAATGAATAGATACACGATCGAACCGATTTGAATTTACTTTTGCATATTTTACTTTGTGTTTATTCGGATATGTGTTTGGTTTGTTTTTCACTGTTTGACCTTTTTAAAGATCTTTACTCGTATAGTTGGAACTGGAATAGATTTTTGTGCATTTTCAGGTGTTGTCTTTTGAGAATTTATCAGTACCTAGACAATGATTGAGATCTAATTAGATATATGTACATTGATTATATGCTATACCTCCTCTGGAATATTGAAGAAAACATTCAGAATGACAGAATCATGACTTGGAAATGAAATTGAGCTTGTTTAATAGATACCTGAAACTGGTGGAAGGGAAAATAATTGTTAAAATAATGTGATGGCTTTTTATTCTGTGCTGTTGTTCTTTCTTTCCTGTCTCCTGGTTATGCGATGTAAGCAGAGAGAGAGGAAGCTTAGAAATATCTATTTCCTCCATTTGAGTTTGTTCTTTGTTCTAAGTAGGAGAAAAGAAGGGAGAATTCTCTCATTTCCTGTGACATTTGCTTCATCAAGTTCGGTTTCCAACTTATACTTTACATATTTATATTGCTTTGCTTTCAAATTGATAATTAGGGTTTTCAACCGTTCAAATGTAAGAAGATGGTTAGAATTGCCATTATATGGTTCTTAATTAAAATAGATTGTAATGTATGACTGAGAAGGGGTTGTAGCTAATCAATATTGGTTTGGTTCAAGTCACAATGCAGACATAAAATTTAAAGACAGTATTAATGTGATATTCCAAGACAGTTGGAAAATGGTGGTGTCAGATATCCGCAGCCAAGTTTATCATTGAGTCACAATGCAAACAATAATATTTAAGGTGCGAATATTTGTATAGACGTATCTGGGACATAGTATCATTATGTCTGTTTTGGAGCCTATATTATAAATCACACTCCACTGGCAAGAGAGACTGCAAAGTTTCTTGCATGAATAATTCTAGTTTCCTTATTTATCTCAATAATGATGTAAAACATTAAATATACATTTGATTAAGAAGGACTTACTGTTATTTAAAATGTAAAATTTGGTTTATTCTGTGGTAGTTAATTTTCATGGAGTTTACTTTAACGGGCTTTAGGCTTGCCTAAACTGCCCCACTCTCTACCATGCACGCGTTCCTGTCTTGTTTTAGAATTTTATCTTCTTGCCTGCTAATTTGACCAGGAATACAATCGGCTTTTAACATTCTTTGCTTCCGTCAGCTATGGAGCAAGAAAATAACAAAAATGAAGCTGACACTACTGCAGACTTGGCAAGATCAGAACCATCTGAAAAGAAAAGCTCAAATTTATCGAAGGCCAAAACTGATGTTGCCAAGAAGTTCCTGAAGAAAAGAAAAGCAAATAATACTTCTGAGGTCCAGGAAAAGGAAAAAGAAGAAAAGTGTGAGCATATCAGAAGGCAGTAAAGCAATCGAAAATGATGTGATGAAGTTAAATTCAACGGAAGAAAACCAGCAAAAGGATGCTACCACGAGTGTGGAGCACGTAGAAAACAACCAGCAGATCCAAAAGAATGATGAAAATACAAGTGCATCAGATAGCAAGGAAAAGGTTACAAAATCAAATTACACTCCCAACAAACGAAGAAGTGGCGAGGAACCTGGCCTTTCAAACAAAAAATCGAAGAATGAAGAAAAGCGAGAGGGTAATAAAGGAGGGAAGCGAAATGAACATAAGGAAAAGGAAAGTATTTCAATGAAGAATAACACAAGTGACGACAAGCGAGATGGTAAGGGAACACAAGAAGAACCTAAAAAGAAAGAAAAGATTGATGGTCTAATATTTATGTGCAATGCAAAGACCAAGCCAGATTGTTTCCGATATCATGTAATGGGGGTATCAGGTGGCAAAAAAGATCTTGTTCTGGGCATTAGGCCGGGGATTAAGCTTTTTCTCTATGATTATGATCTCAAGCTTTTGTATGGGATTTATAAGGCATCCTCATCTGGTGCCATGAAGCTTGAACCGAAGGCTTTTGGTGGGGCTTTCCCTGCTCAGGTACCGTTTGTTTTAGCTGTCTTTACTTGCAACTATTCTTCATATTCATTACTTTAAGGAGATTTGTGTACCAATGACTTCTGTTTCAGGTGCGTTTCAGTGTACATGCTGATTGTTTTCCTCTGCCAGAGAGCATTTTCAAGAAAGCAATCAAGGAAAATTATGATGAAAATAACAAATTCAAAACTGAACTTACTGCTAGACAAGTAAGGAATAGTTTCCTTACCTATTAATTTGACGTTTATAGTTTCTTGCTTATTTTGGCACTAATGGCGTCTGATATTTCCCTTAGGTTCGGAACCTCACAGAACTTTTTCGACCAGTTCCAGTTCAATCAACTGCACCAGCTTTTCATTCCTCATCAAGGGTGGCAGCTCACATGATCGAGCGATCTGAAAAAAGGGAGGCTCATGATCGACCAAGGGAAGCAAGGCTTCCGTCACACAGGGAAGCTTCTCTTAGAGATTATGCATCTCATGAAAGGGTTCAGCGAATTGCACATCGAGAGTTGGCATCTACTAAGAGGGAGAATGGTCATCGCGATTTATACCTTAGTGAGAAGGAATACAGGGCTTATGGTCTTCTGGGAGAGAGAAGAAACTTGAGCCCTCAGCATCATATCGCTCCTACATTAACATCTTACCTGGGAGATCACAGAGAGCCACCTTTGCGACGACCAGATACAGTATACAGGGAACCTGTGCCTTCCCAGAGAGACACAATTCGCTCTGAACCGCTTTACTTGACTGAGAGAGAATATCAGACGTATGATTTAGGTGCTACACGAGCAATGCATCCAACAGTTTCTGCAGCAACTGCAAATACATCTGTAGCTGGTGCTTCCATCTTGGACCCCTATATTACAGATCCATATTATAGCCGTTATTCTGGTGATGCATTGGTGGATGCTTATCTACCACGTCCGAGAGAGGCTCGACTGACTGAAACAGATCTTTTGAGGAGAAGAGAAAGCAACCAAGCAGATAGATTATACGCCGCACATCCTTCTGACATTTTAGTAGATCATAGCCAGATGTATCGTCATCGAGACGGTAAGCCTGCTGCTGCTTCTACGTCAGTTTCGTCCCGGTATTCTTTTGGTGGTCCATCATTGTCTTATCGCTGAGAGTCATCGGTCACATATCGCTAACTCAAGACATGCTCTTTCGAAATTAATGATATATTTTCCTATTGTCTGCATGCATGCTGTTGAACTAAAATAAGCTACTCTGTTAAATGGTTTATCATGCATGATTAGGATATAGCAATTTGCAAGTCAGTACTTTCGGAAGCTATCTGATTGTGGTTGGATATCTCGTCGGAACCTTTTTGCCAACCTATGTAATCGGCCTTTTTGCTAATACACTGTTTTGGCCGTATTCTGTTTTCATATGCCGGCAAGGTTGGCATTATATGTATGTTCAATGCCAAGTATAAGGTACATGCTTGTTTGAGTATAACAAATTTAAAATATAATATTTAACCTTGTGCTGCATAGCCCGTCGATCAATCAAAAGCTCAATGGGTAGCCAATGGTTTCTTTTGCAAGCAAAGATTTGGAAAGTTGAATTAAATTATTTTTCATTTAGAAAAAATAGGAGATTAAGTATCATTGTTTAACATCTCGTTGAATAAAAAAAGGAATATTTGAGATTAGTAGCACTAATATCAAAATATAGAGAACCCTAAAGGTGATTTACATTTAGATGAAATTTAATTTATTTAATTTTAAAATTACATAAATTTTAATTTAATTTTATAACCAATAATTTTTAAATTAATGAATTAATAATAAACCTCAACCTTAACACCATCAACGGTATTATTATAGCTCGACAGAGAGAAAAGGAAAAACGAAAATCGGCACCACAACACGCAACAAATAATGCTTGAAAATGGTACTGAATTTTTAAAAGAAGGGGATTACAGTCAATTTGAGCTTTTGAGAAAAGACCTTGGGATTGTACTTTTAGAGGGATTAATTTGAACTGCTTAATTGATCTATTTAATGTTAGTGAGAGTAAATTTAAACAATATATAATTGATATATTTTGCCTAACATAATTATATAAAACATAGGGATTAAACTCAAATTGGGTTCATTTAACTTGAGATCCCATTTTCAACTTCCAAAAGTCAACGTTCTCCTCAAAATCAAGCAAAGCAAATGGCGCCTTCTTCAACCCTCCTCCTCCTCCATTGGCTCTCGCCTCACTTCCTTCAAAGACATTCTTCTTTGCTCCTGCAACTTTAGCTCTCGTTTCCGCACTTTCCATTCTCTTTTACATCTTCTTCACAACTTCAACTCTCTTCATTTCCCATCAACACGAACACAAGCTTCACTTAAAACGAACGTATGTATCTTCTCAAGCTTCTCCATTGACTCCGAATCTTCCCTCAAATGGTTTTAAAAATGGGAGCTTTCACTTGTCAGCAAAGTCTCCATCCAATGCTTTTGGCGTTGGTGATGGGAATAAAGATGGGACTGTGAGTCGAGTGTCTTCAAGATCTCATTTTGGACCGAAGGGTATGTTGATTTTGAGATATTTGATACTGGGTATTTGTTGGTTCTTCCTTTTGTTTTGTTTTTCTCTCCGTGTCTTGCTTCTCTGGTTTTTTTCATTTGAGCTTCGAATTTTCAACTTTGGTCTCTGTGTGAGTTTGGCTCGAGTTTTCACCTAGTGTTTGTGAATATGCTATCGGTTCATGTTGAACTTCAAAGAAATTAAATTACTTTAAATAACCATAATGATCCTTCGGCTAACACACATTAAAAATACTATAAATGCTTCGACTAAGATTAAAAAAGAGTTAGAACCTTAGATACTTCATATCCCAATTTCTATCTTCATTTTTTATAATAACCTACTTTCTTCTTTATTCAAATATTGATTAACGCTCATTTTTTATCGACTGCACATTTTTATGATTCCATTCAAATTAGAAGAGAGAAACAATTAAAACTGACAAGATAAACTTGTCGTAGTCAACACCAGGCACGAGTTTTGTTTAAATTTATTTGGCTTTCAATGTCTACAAGGTAAATTAGAAGTTTTGGGGAAAAAGGAAATCATTCTTGAGTGTAAGGGATTGTTTGTTTACTTCAGAATGATTAAGTGCTGAATGATTTAGAGGTTCTGGATGAATTAGCTCTGAATTTGAATGAATTAGCTGAATGGTTCAGCATTCAACACTGAATGATTCTATTAAGAGGTAAACAAACAGCCCCTAAAACTTTAAATCTTGTGTAAGTATTTGATTGATTAGTTGAAGGTGATGCCAATTTGTTTACCAGCTTAATCTAGAAACTTGAATGTTTTGCTGCTAGAACTGCAAATTCATGGTTTTTATGGTTCAGGAAGCAACGTCGATGTCTTCCATGACGGAGATATCTTCCTGGAGGACTATCGAGAGATGAATCGGAGCTTCAAGATATACGTTTATCCTCACAGGCGAAAAGATCCCTTTGCGCATGTATTCTTGCCTGTGGATTTCGAACCCGAGGGCAATTACGCTAGTGAAAGTTACTTCAAAAAGGCTCTAATGAAGAGCTATTTCGTAACCAAAGATTCGAGCAAGGCGGATCTTTTCTTTTTGCCTTTCTCGATCGCAAGGCTGAGGCATGATGCTAGAGTTCGTACAGGAGGTATTCAAAGTTTTATCCGAGATTACATCTCCAACATTAGTAGAAACTACCCTTACTGGAATCGCACAGGCTGAGCCAATCATTTTTACGTTGCTTGTCACTCCATCGGTCGATCGGCGATGGCTAAAGCCATGGCAGTAAAGCTTAATGCCATACAGATTGTGTGTTCTTCGAGCTATTTCATTTCCAGATACGTTGCTCATAAGGATGCATCTATACCTCAAGTATGGCCGAGAACCGGAGATCCCCCTAATCAAGCCACATGCAAAAGGTCAAAACACTCACTTCCTTGATATGTAAGACATCATAGTTGTTGAAGTTTTTGGTATTGTTGTTAAAGGTACTTAACCCTGTTTTACAGGAACAAACTGGCGTTTTTCGCCAGAGCGATCTTCGCCGGAGCGATCAACTCCCCTGTGCGCGAAAAGCTTCTGGAGTTCTGGAGAAAATATTCCGTGATCTTTGCTCATCGGTCGGTTTAAAACACCGTATGCCGACGAGCTGCTCGGCAGCAAGTTCTGTCTCCATGTAAAAGGCTTTGAAGTCAACACAGCTCGAATAGCAGATTCATTGTATTATGGTTGTGTCCCGATCATAATCGCCAACTACTATGATCTCCCATTTGCCGATGTACTGAACTGGAAGAGCTTCTCGATTGCTGTCGCAACTGCCGATATCCCGTCCCTTAAGAAAATCCTTCAAGGGATAACTTCCGACGAGTACTCGACGTTACGACGCAATGTACTGAAGGTACGTAAACATTTCCAGTGGCATGTTCCTCCTACTGATCTTGATGCATTTTTAATGGTGATGTATGAACTGTGGCACAAACGAAGTTCTACTCGAATAAATAAATGACTAATTGATTGTATTTGCCAATTCTTTTTCAATGATTTGCTTTCCCAAGCAAACATCATCGATTGATGTATATAATCTCCATTGTTATGAAGTTCTATTCTCTATAAGAAATGCTAAACTTATTATTATGACAAATAACGTGTTTTAGTATCTAAATTATCAATTTTGATTTATTTTAGCAGTTGAACTTTTAACTTTTTTCAAAGTTTAACGTTAAATTTTGAATGTGTGTATTAAAATGAAACAAAAATTAAACATTAAGTATGATTTTTAGTTTCTACTAAATTGATTAATACATAAATTTAAATATAAAAATTGATTAACAAAAACTATTCGAATCGTTGATAAAATATTATATATCTGATTAATAAATAAAATAAATTGATTTATATATAAAAAGTTGGTATAAAATTACAGAAAATAGAAAACCATATGCTATGATTTATCCTCTTGTAGACATTATAACATCGGACATTATGAAGCATATTTTCATAATGCTTGGACGCGAATGGATTGAAAACAAAAGTTGGGCAAAGAAATAAAATTAAACTAAAATGGTATTGAAATGGATTTGATGAATCCGTCTTCAAATTCAATTATTTCCTTTTTGGTTGGGGGATGATGGCTCTTAATCCATGATATTTAAAAAATAGGGTAAAATACACAAATGGGCCCCGACTATGGGTATTGTTTTAGTACGTCCCTTGACTATTAAAGTTACAAAATGATTCTCCAATTACATAATGTTGTTTTTTTAATCAATCTACTATTAAAAGTTATAAAATAGTCATCCAATTATTCATTATGTTCTAATCTCGTCATTTTTATTTTAAAATTGACGGTGTTCTAAGTTTAACGTTAACTTACTGACTGTGATATGATAAAATTTGATCATAGAATCTCAAACGACTATCATATCTCGATCGTCATGTTAACGTCCGACTTAGAAAACTGTCATTTTTTAACATAAAAGGACGAGTTTGAAATATAATGAATAGTTAGTTGACCATTTTATAACTTTTAATAATTGATGAACTTAATAAAGTATATTATAATCGGGATCATTTACACGTACTGTACCCTAAAATAATAATAAATCAATAGTGCGAGTTTAAATACTATTTAATGAATTAAATGTCCATTAGCATCGTCATAAACCCACATTCTTCTCCTTTGAACGAATGTAGCTATCTATCAATTAACCTAAACTAAATCATCAAACGAACTTATAAATAACTAAATTAATTCATTCAAAAAATATTCATTCTCTTTCCATCTCAATGGGGAAGAAATCATCTTCATTGGTTTACCAGATCTTCCAGCACCGATTCCCAGCAACATTCAAAGGTTTCTTCTATTTTTTACCCATAAGCTTAGCCTTAACCACACTTCTCATTTTCATCTACATTTCCACTACTGCAAGTGTCACTAAAAGCCATGCACAAGCCACTCTTTACCTTCTTCCACTTCTTCACCGAGTATCGATCAAACCAGTAATGTCCCAGTGGTTTCATTTGGAGATAATGAGAACGACAATGATAATCTGTTTGCAGATCCTTCCAGAATCGATCGTCTGTCAAGGGCTAATCAATGGCTTCTGGGGAACCTTTTCGGCTTAAGTAATGGGAATTACACAAACAACAAAGAAGCGTACAATGATGGTGATCTCTTCTTACAAGACTACAAACAGATTAACAAAAGCTTGAAGATTTTCGTGTATCCTCACAGCAAAGATGATCCTTTTGCAAATGTGTTGTTGCCTCCTGATTCTGATCCAAAAGGAAACTATGCAAGCGAGCTTATGTTCAAGAAAGCTTTGATGAAATCCCATTTCGTCACTAAAGATCCCAACGAGGCTCATCTCTTCTACATG